TATATATAATATATATAAAAATATAATCACATGAGCACTAGAATTAGAGGCTAGTAGCAAATAATTTTACAATCTAAATGAGGAACAACATTGGGGTGGGGGTGGCGCGAGGAAGTCAAGAAGAAGAAAGGAAAGTGTTAAAAGTGAAACGTGCTGTAGCCTTTGCTGCAATAATTGCACAGATCACCTGTGAAAGGAAAGCTGGATTTTTTTTTTATTCTAGTCGTGTCCATCTCGTGATACCAGGAACTGTTCTTAAACCTGGAGACCCGTCCCTTGGCTTGGGCACACACCATTGTTGCCAGATATCTTTTACAAGCACCCTGAACAGCCCTTTTTATTGTCTTCTTTCCTGAAACCTCTAAACCTGGTTGACTTGTCAGGGTACATTTCACACATTCCTGCTAGCGAGCCTGAAGGATACGCCTAGTTCACTTGCTGCTGGAGGGGTAGAAAGCCGCTGGTACGGTCTTGCACTCTCCTCCTTGCTTTGGAGTTCCTACAGAAGGCATTGGTAGCAGCGCTGGATTTGGGGAATCAGCATGAAGTGAACCAAGGTAGATTCTCTGTAGACCAAAGGTATGGAAGATGGTATGGGAACAGCCTCTGAGTTTCTCTGTTTCTCAGATGTTTGGGGGAAATCTCAAAGCATTGTAATCCAGGCAAGGGATTAGGTGCATCTCATGGAGGAGAAGATATCTAACAGGAGATGCAACATGTTTAGTGGGGTGCTACAGTTTCTGGAAATTATTGACTGATATATAGTAGTTTAGCAAGGTTTTCTGGCTTATGGTTTCCAATGAATGGTATTGTTGAAATTTTAAAAGTTGGGGTATTCCTGTCTGGCCCTGAACCAGTTCCTGTGTATCTCTTTGGCATCCTATCCTACTCTAATTTGATGTTATGAATCTTGGTTTAAAATCAAGTATTTTCTAGAGATTGAAGCCCACCTATCTTTGTTCTATATCTGAAAGTAATATGAGCTGTAGAGGGAGACAGGAGAGGGAGGTGGTCATTCTGTGGACATCTAGAATGGAACTTCTGGTCATTGTGGAAAATAAAATGCTGGCTCTTACCCCCAGTGTTGAGGAAGCTACCTTAATGTTCAAAGCTTCTGGAACTTAAAAAAAAAATTCTGCTGCCATCACTCACTTTCTGTGTGAGTACTGTTTTTATCTCAAACATCAGTTGGGAAATCAGAAAGATAATTACTTGGAGGAAACTGTCCTTCAAAGTCACATGTCTCCAAGTCCAGGCTACGTTTTCTCCAAGATGTGGACTCCGGCCATGGGCATGGAGAGTTTTGTCATCCTTGAAGAACTTGATTGCCTCTGTGGGTTTGCTTGCCTTTCAGACGTGCAACTAAGAAGACTTATTAGGTATTTTTGGTGAAGGGTGAGTTCTGGAGTCTGTGAGGTGTCACTTAAAGATTGGTTAGGCTTCCCATGCTAAGTTGCACAGTCATTGGCTGTGTTTACGCAACTTGCTGAGCCATAGGTCATGGCTTACAAATCACAATGACCAAAATGCCAGTAATCACAAGGGCTTAATATGTTGGCCATTAAACTCACATATACTTGGTTTGGTGGGTCTTTGCATGTTGTGTGAGTCCTAATAGTTCTTGAGAGTATTAAAGTAGGGAAATCTGTCCTAGAAATGAATGTGGTAGCCAGGAAGGACAGTACCACAACTTCAGTTGTTAAAGTGCCCCTATTAATCATAGAATTATAGAACTATAGAACTGGAAGGGACCACAAGGATCATTTAAATCAACCTTCTGCAGTGTGTAGGATAACCAGTTCAACCATCTGTGAAAGGTGGCTGGCCAGCCTCTCTTTAAAGCCTTCAGAGATGGACAACCCACAACCTCCATAGGTGAACTGTTCCACTGTGTGTTCCATTGTTGTACAGATTTTATTATAAGGACATTTTTCCTTACATGTAAGTGAAATTGTGGTAGCCTCAACTATACCAGCTATTTCTGGTCCTTGTTTTTGTGCAAATAGAAAATATCTCCTGAGCATCTTCTCTCTGGAACCTTTTACATACCTGAACACTGATCTCATCTCTCCCCTCTGTCTTGTTTTCTCCAAGTGCAACATCCCAAGCATAAACTCTGAGTAAACTCAGCAGTGATCTTGGGGAGGGGGGAGCAGGAGATAATCAGTACCATGGACTCAACATCACCGTCAACTCCATATACAACTTTCTTGTGTCACCTTTATTTTTAGGCCCTGACAGATATTTCCAGGTATGGAAGAGACAAAGAATAATTCCACAAAGCTGAGCAGA